TTAGCTTGTAAAAGTTCGTAATTAGCATGAATACAAACTAGAAATTGGCACGTCACATGTGTGACGTCACCACATAATCTCCTCCCCCCCCCCCAGCATAGCTGCTACTTACCAAATAGCCAGATTTATGGTGGTTCTTTCCTCCTGTGGGAAGTTTGCTGAATTTACAGCCCTTTTCCCTCAGTTTCATGTCTGGTTCGATGACGTCACTTTCGTGAAGCGCATTGGACTTATTTTTCGCACAAATTCTATGGTAAATGGCCTGTGTTTGATATAGCGCCTTCTAGAGTCCTGGAACCCCCCAAGGTGCTTTACAACACAATCAGTCATTCACCCATTCACACACACATTCACACACTGGTGGGGATGAGCTATGATAGCCACAGCTGCCCTGGGGCGCACTGGTGCCACGGGTCCCTCCGACCACCACCAGCAGGCAAGGTGGGTTAAGTGTCTTGCCCAAGGACACAATGACAGACTGAGCAGGGCTCGAACCCGCAACCTTCTGATTACGGGGCGAGCACTTAACTCACTTAACCCAATCTAAAATGTCATTCTCCCCAACATCTTCTGCAGAAGCAGCTTTTGTTTCCATCCTTCACGCTAACTGGTCATTTTTATAAAGAAAGAAACCTCTAAACAAAACCTAAAATGAGTTATTTTACTGTAGCTTTAAACTCGGCCCATGTATTTACACCAAGCAGGTTTGTGATCTATCAAACATGGAGGACGCACAGCTGCACGCAATCTCCGCTTCATCAATCGGAGACTGACGAGAAGGTTTCTCAGCTGCATTTTAGTCACATCCCGCCCTCACCACGCCCACTTACTGCCATAAATGGTCAATGCAAAGTGCCTTGTGGACCTCATGCATATACATAAGCCGGCTGTTGCAGCATTTCGATCACGACCGCAGATCAAGGCAGATCTAGGAAGCGCTATTTCACAGAAGCAGAAGTTGAGGTACCTGTGGGTGAGGTGGAGAAATGAAAGGAAGTGCTTTTGCAAAACAAATAAGAGAAAATCCACAGAGTGGCACAGCGCTGCTGAAGCCGTCAATGTTGTGAGTTCTTCAGAGAGATCTGTGGCGGATTAAAAAAAAAATGGTCCAATCGGGATTCGATCCCCAGACTCATGGGTGAAAGTCACATGCGCTAACCAGTCACCCAAACAGAGATCTCCCCTGTACAAGTAGCCAGGGCGCATGATCAATCGGGTCACAGTGACAGGACACACACTGTCACAGACGCATGATGTTCTGTCTCATTCTGTCCCCCTGCTGATATTCTGTATTCCGTATTCTGCGTTTCAGGCTGAGTGTGTGTGTGTGTGTGTGTGTGTGTGAGTGTGCGCACGTGTGTGTGTGTGTGTGGGGGGGGGGGGGGGGGGGGTCTTGTTCTGTTTGAAAACGAAGCGGTACAAGTGATAATGCTGCAGGATTTCATAACTGTATCTTCTCAGCAGCAGCACTGCAGGTGCTCTCCATGTCCAGCATGTGTGTAAGCCAGGTCCTTAGTCAACTTAAAGTTGCGCACATTTGTCCGCTAAGTTTTCTTTCATAAATCCCAAAGTTTGCGTGGGAAGTTGCTTACTCAGTTTTCCGACCCCGTTTTGTGCGTAAGCAAACCTGATAAATGAGGCGCCAGGTCATTGAGCCAATCAGTAAAAAGTTTCCTATATACGGAACCCAGCAGGCTGCATCGAGTCACTGAAAATTAAATAAAACAGGTCCGTTCCACCTGCAGATCCTCCACCAGGGGGCAGCAGACATGTGGCAGGTGTGGGATGAAGGTACTAATCCTGATGCTCCATCTGGATGCTGTAAGGTCAGGAGGGCTTTCACTCGCTCAGCCTTTATTTATAAAGCACCTTACAGGCATGAGCATGCCACCAAGGTGCTGTACAACAAAAGAATAAAACAATAAAACATATAGCGCCACAGACATAATTAAGACCACAAATAAGAATTACAAAATATAAAACATTAACTATTGCTAACCCACAGAATTAAAAGCGATAAAACAAAAGTAGGTTTTCAGCCTCATTTTAAAAACTGCTAATGAAGGGCTTTGATTAGGACTAAATAATAATCCATTAGAGGTTAATTTAATAAAACATAGGTGACTTAAAGTCCTGGGGCACCTTTTCAGTCAGCTCCTCCTTGTTAGGGTGAAGAAAGGGACCTCTGTTTACTGCAGCCTGAAAACCCTGGAACCAGCGACTGATTTTAACTAAAGTAAATCGTTATTTTTACTGTAAGGAGAGAAAAACGTACATCGTGAAAATACTGAAATCAAAAAAGTCTTTGAAACATCCTCCGAGTTTACTGTGAGCACTGGTCAGCGGTCTGATCAGTGACCATTTGATTAAACTGTTGAATAAAAATAAGGTACAATTAAAAAGTTGTGAAATGAATCGATGTTGCATTTAAAGCCTTTAAATTGTATTTAACAACAATGAAAAACAATGAGATTTGCTTTAATTTGGGGCCTGAGGCTGAAATGTGCTGCAACAGGATACATAACAGGCCTGTTTATGAAGAGAAAGCCAACACATTTTTATTCTAACTACAGCACAGGGCAGTAAAAGTGTTGCACACTGATTTTATGAACGCAAATAAATTCCTGCTATTGCCACCAGCCGAGCTCAGCCCGTAGCTCCTTCTGCAGCCTGCTCCGGCTGGATGTAGCGGCGCGTCAGCAGCAGATCACAACCAGAGGAGCCAACAAGCCTGACTAACTCTTACACAGCCGCTTATCTCTCGTCTCATCTCATTAGAACCAGATCAGCAGCAGAATCCCCCCACAGGGCCAGTCCAGCCTCCATCTCGTTCACCTGATGGATTGGCCTCGGTGTAGGGATGGGTACCTTTGACATTTGAATAGATCCGGTACTAATTCCCGGTACCTACGAGTCGATACCGGTACTTAACGGTACCAGTTTTCGATACTTTTGAGTGTTTACTATTTTAATTCTCTTTTAATATTAAATATATATTTTTCTCAATATATAACCATATTTGATAAATATCACAATAAATAACATACAACTGTATTTTAACATCGTCGTTGTAGTTTTATAAGCTGATAATTAAACTGAAGCAAACATCTTTACTGTGAACTAAATTTACTGTGTATCTTCATTCCTTTTGCCGTCCTTTTTCATTTGATTTTTCCTACTGGGAAGTTAGAATTTCCGAGGAGAAAGCGAACGCACCATTAGCTGATAACAATGGTGGCAATGGAAGCTAATATATCAAGCTAACGTTATCTTAAACAGTTTATTTAGCTGCTGGAGCAGATTAAAACGATGATGCCTCACACTTAGATCGTTGTCGCTGGTTTCATCTTCACCCAATCACCCGTCGCATTTAGTAAAGTGAAGCCAAACTTTAGAGCGTGTTCATGTTCTTCTGGTCGGAAATTCGGAGTTCCGAGGAGAAAGCGAACGCACCATTAGCGAAACGGAAGCTAGCATATCAAGCTAACGTTATCTTAAACATTTTATTTACCTACCGGAGCAGATTAAGATGAGGATGTCTCACTTAGATCGTTGTCGCTGGTTTCATCATCACCCAGTTACCCATCACATTTAGTGAAGTGGACCCAAGCGTTAGCGCGCGTTCTTTCTACCGTGCTGCTCTGTTTACAACTGGCTCCCAGCGACCGGCGACATAACGCTCTTGCGCATGCGCAGCTGTCTAGGCAAGTTCTCGTTATGAAGGACGGGTACCGAAACGAGGCACCGTTTCAAACGACGTGGATCGGTGCTCAGTCGGTACTATGGAATTCGGTCGGTACCTTGAAAAGTACCGAATTCGGTACCCATCCCTACCTCGGTGGTCCAGAGAGCACTTTGGAGATGATGCGTCACAGTGTCACTCGGCTCGTTTCTACCAGATATGTCACCCTGTGAGGTCATCAGCATCATGAAGCGGTGCACAGGGGTGTCTGCAATACTGGAGAGAAAGGCTGATCTCTCAGTGAGGCTCAGAGGAAAAAATCCCATCTGAAGATCTGGCAAGTTCTCGTCTGCCTCATTTAAACGTCTCGCTGTCTTCAAATCTTTGATTTATAATCTCATAATCCTTTAGCATTCTCAGGCAGAAGAACCAGGCAGGGACCAAGAGGACATCACTGCTGGAAGGGACATTATTGCGAGGCCAGTGTTCATCATGTCATGGATGCAAAGCTGGGCCTCATCCGGAGAGCTCCGAGCTGTTCCAGAACCTGATGTGACCTCCGATGACTCTGAGTCATGAAATTAAAAATAAACACTGAAAAATCAAAGAAGGACTGGAAGTCAGAGACGTTCTCCACTCATGAGTTACTGACGGATGTCCATGGGAGGTCCGGGTGTTGTTACCGAACAGTTATGGATCCTTCTGCAGGTCCCTGCTCCATATCCGCTGCTCGACTCTGACCTACATTCCAGTCATGTGTGTCTCTGGTGGGAATTGGACTGCCAACCCAGTTCATGTCATTGCATTGCACAATCTCCACACACTTTACAGAAATTGTGACCCAAAGTCACGTTTTAAGCGTCGGCAAACTGATGCTGCATCATCTGAGTAAACGTTCACAGATGCCGTCGGTCGATTTTCTTTGTGAAGCTGACCCTGATTTTCATATGAATCTATTCTTGTACCTTATACTTGAACTAAACAGCAACACCTTGTGGTTCGAATGCGATTTAGAGTTATTTTTGTAGCATTAGCTTAGCTTGAAACCCCTGTTTTAACTTGGCATATCATAGCTGAGCTTGTATTACTGGATCTTGTTGATGGTGCGGAGCATGAGCGCTGTGCTGCAGGAGTGACAGAGGGACACCGACCCTGCGGAGATGGAGAAAACTGCGTTTTATGGCATCTGAATGAATCATTTTCTTGTGAAACTTTTCTTTTCATGTGTTGTTTTAAACCAGACACGTCACTTGTGATGGCGGCCTCATAAACGTTCTGTGAGAAACAATAACTCAGCGTTTTATTCTCTGTGTTACAGTTTAAATCCGGCCGCCACGTCAGAGCTGGTGCTGATCGTCTCCTCCCGAGAGAGAAGTCCTGACTATGATCTTCCTCGGGTAGGTTCAGATCCTCTCAGCTCTTGTGATGCGGTGTTCAACTGCACGTGTTTGGCTTTAGTACTGTTGAAATGACCCGTGAAGCTAAACCTGTCACCTGTCAGCTAAACCATGTGTGCTGCAGAGATCTCCTCCGCCCATGTTCTGCCCAGATGCAGCAGTCAAACCGCTGCAATGCTGGTAGATATCCAGTCTTCTGTAACTCTTTGGGTTTGCAGGGGTCGGCGCCCTCACACACCTTCTGTTTGAAACAACCCCAACAGCAGCTACAGCTGCTGATGCTTTCTGCTGACATGCAAGGAAGCACAGGGAACATCAGACAGAAACTGTCGAGTCAGAGACGGGTTTGTCTGCCGAGTCACGCTACCAAACACAAGCTAAGGGCGTCCAGCATGCAGATACTTCTACTGCTAGAGTTGTGGACTGATAAATTATTGAGTTTTAGCTGTTTTAGTTCATCCTAACATCAAGTTGATTTATTCTCATGGTGCAACATTAGCAGAATTCAGGATCTGATCCTCAGACTCCGATAATAAGCCTGAGGAAACTTTAGGTCAGGTGCTTTGTTATGTTACAGTCGGTGCATATTTAATTTAACTGTGGAACTGCGATGTTTTCTTTGGTGGTGCCGTTTGGTAGCACTGTGGCCTCGCAACAAGAAGGGTGCAGGTTCAAATCCTGTTTGCAAGCTAGTTAGCATGGTGCTTCCCATGCACACGACTTTTCCACAGGTACGCTGCCTTCCTCTTGCAGACCAAAAACATGCATGGTACGCTAACTGGAGAGTCTAAACCGTGTGAATGTAGATAATGAATGAACCAGACTCAGACAATGTTCTACCAAACAGTAGTAAAAGATTTATATCAGTCTCTGACGTCTTACTGGAGGATGGTTTTCCTGTCCACTGTCGCTACATGCTTGCTTAGCACAGGGATAGCTGTAAAGTCACTCGGTGCGTTTACATGAGCATCTAAGTCGATCCAGGTTGATCTAAAGTAATAAGCTGGGAACCTTTAGCTAAGTTCAAGTTAGAAAGCTGGACTGGAAGGAAGGTTGTTCCACTCCGGTTCAGTAGGTGGCGACATGCTCATAGCAACACAAATAGTAAGCAAACGCTGGTGAGAGTGAAGGGCAATTAGGCGGGGTACAACCTGGACAGAGAGCCAGTCCACCGCAGGGCAACACACACACACACACACACACACACACACACACACACACCTAAGGACATTGTAGACAGACCAATTAACCTAACAGTCATGTTTTTGGACTGTGGGAGGAAGCCGGAGTACCTGGAGAGAACCCACGCACGCACAGGGAGAACATGCTAACTCCATGCAGAAAGATCCCGGGCCGGGAAGCGAACCCAGGACCTTCTTACTGCAAGGCAACAGCTCTAACCACTGCACCACTGTGCAGCCGGTGCTGTGTAAATAAGCTGAACTGAATATTTTAGAACTTCATCAAATCTAAACCACCGACTAAAGCTTGGTTTATGCGTGACACATTCACTTTCCGCTTGGTGATGCGGCTCGCAGATGGAACGCGCTTCACAACTCGCAGCGTTTATGGTTCATGCGGCTCGTCTCTGCGGTGAGCCAATATTCTCCCAAACTGTAGGGGGCAGCATGGAGCTCTACGACATGCATCCAACACTACACCATAGTAGAAGTAGAAATTACTGTTTACAACATGGCATTCCAGCATTTTTAACAGCGTCCTCGTCTTTTCCGACAGTGCGAGCTATTTCTCTCCAAGAATTATTAACAACATGTTGATCACGGTGATCTCTGAGAGCTGAATCATACAAATGTCTGTATTTACCAACCTCTGCCATACTAGTTCTTGCCACTCCGCCATGTTTTTCCACGTCCGACCGTCCGCGTGGTTAGAAAATTTCCTAGGTGCGCGGTGCGGAAAGTTTGGGCCGTGCGGAGACGCCGTGGAGGGGCGTGGTTGTTAAAATTACGCAATTTTGCCGCGCGGAGCCGTGCGAACCTCGCGGACGCGTCAAGCATAAACCAAGCTTGACAAACACACGTTGGCTTTCTGAGCTGCTAATGGAGACAAAGAGAGACATCTGATAACTTCTGCTGAACGTCTCTGGAAACACGAGGGACGGCTTTACACGTTCAGTCATGTGATCACTGAGCTGAAGAACAGCAGCGGGTCTCCTCCAGGAGGAACTGCTGATTTCTTCTCATTTTGAAGGCGTTCAGATCTCTTCTCTCCAACATGCTGCAGCTTTACTAGAGAAGCGCCGTGGCTCTGGAGCTTTTGATGCTTCTGCTTGTAGATCAGCAGTGGAACAATGGTGGCGAGCAGAGGTGAACAAAAGCCTCTCAGCTGGTGACAGATTTGAGCTCGCTGCTAATGGCAACCAGAGGCCTACAGCGCTGGAGAAAACCCATCATCTCCACTCGCTCTGAACTAAATCCACAGGGGATGAGTGAATGAATGAATGAGAGAGTGAGTGGAGGAGATGGAGGGGGAGAAAGAGAGAGAGAGCATAAAGAAGGATTTAATAAACGCAAAGGAGACAATAAATGTGTGCAGGCTGTTATTAGAGCTCGTATTCATCTAGTTTTTGATTTTGTGGCTCTGGGATGAACAATAAACCAGAAGAATATTTATTATCAGGGTGTTCTTCTCTCTTTTGCTCAGAAACGCTGACATCTGCATCCTCCCACGCTCATCTAGGACCAAACCACAGAAAACCCATGATTTCCACACTTATTAACATGTTTTTATTGTTGAAATTCAGATTTTTCTGGTTTACTGAAGAAAAGGAATCAGGCAGGATTTGTAATCGGCCTTCAGATGAAGTTACAGGATAGAACCAACGTCGGTTCCAAAGGAGAATGAGAGGAACGAGAACCTGAACTTGTGAGGTTTGTTTGAATGTAAACTGATTGTGTCGTGGTCGGTGGGCGGGTCCTTCAGCACGCCGCCATCAAATAAAACATCAACAAGAAATCATGGCTCCACGTTTGAGTCGCAGAAGGTTGAGGCTTCATGTGGAGTTTCGTATGATCCAGTGGTTGGTGTCCAGAAGATCTGTCTGGTTCTGGTTCTGGTTCTGGGTTTGGCTCTGGGTCTAGTAATGGGTCTGGTTCTGGTTCTGGTTCTGGGTCTGCAGTAGCTCAACAGGTTGAGCGGGTTGTCCAGTAATCGGAAGGTTGCAGGTTCGATCCCGGCTCCGGACTGTCGTTGTGTCCTTGGGCAAGACACTTAACCCACCTTGCCTGCTGGTGGTGGTCGGAGGGACCGGTGGCGCCTGCGCTCGGCAGCCTCGCCTCTGTCAGTGCGCCCCAGGGCAGCTGTGGCTACATCGTAGCTCATCACCACCAGTGTGTGGATGTGTGTGTGAATGGATGAATGATGCACTGTAGTGTAAAGCGCTTTGGAGTCCTTACTCTGAGAGGCGCTATACAAGTGTGGGTCATTCTGGCTCTGGTTCTGGGTCTGGCTCTGGGTCTGGTTCTGGTTCTTGTTCTGGCTCTGGGTCTGGGTCTGGTTCTGGTTCTGAGACTGGTTCAGAGTCTGGGTCTGGTTCTGGTTCTGAAGGTGAATTTTCTGTGCAGATTCTGCTTTGATTCCATGAATCTACAGGAGTTTGAATGAAGGCAACTGGACGTGTTTGGTTCCTTAGAGATGATCTTGGTATCAGAACACGTCTGAAGCTCTCAGACATACGTGAAGTCCGGGCACACGGCAAGCGGGGTTAGAAAACGGCGTTTTTAGCCCCGTTGGCCGGCATCCTGAGTTTCATTCCTCCGGGACCCGTGGTCTGAACGTAGATGGGCGGACCTTAAGCTCCCTATTCTGGTCGGTTTCCTATTGCACGGAGCTCTGCGAGGGGGGGGGGGGGTGCCACGCTTACAGATTCCTGAAAAATCATACATAATATCTGAAAAGAGAAAACTCCGGAAAGCTGCTGTAAGGAGCAGAAACTACCTACGAATACCCCTCCTCTCTACCCCTGATGAGTCGTCGATTCCAGGAAAACACAAACCCTCCAGATTTGTTCCAGTTCCAAAGAAAACTCGCCCATCAGTCAATGATGACTACAGACCGGTTGCCCTGACATCCCACATCATGAAGGTCCTGGAGAGACTCCTGTTGGTCCACCTGAATAAGCAAACTAGGACATATCAGGACCCGCTGCAGTTTGCTTATCGCCATGGAGTTGGAGTTGAAGACGCCATCATCCAGCTGCTTCAACCAACCCACTGTCATCTGGACAAAGCAGGCAGCACTGTGAGGGTCATGTTCTTTGATGTCTCCAGTGCATTTAACACAATCCAGCCTGATGTTCTTTGCCAGAAACTCCAGAAGACACAGGTGGGGGCCTCAGCTATCGCCTGGATTAAAGACTACCTGACAAACAGACCACAGTTTGTGAGGCTGAAGAACTGCACATCAAACCAGGTGATCAGTAACATTGGAGCACCACAGGGGACTGTACTCTCACCATTCCTTTTCACCCTGTACACCTCAGACTTCCAGTACAAATCAGAGACCTGTCATCTACAGAAATACTCAGATGACTCTGCAGTTGTCGGGTGTATCAGAGATGGACAGGAAGCTGAGTACAGAGAGCTGGTGGAGCGCTTTGTGGCATGGTGTGGAAACAATCATCTGACCTTGAACGTGAACAAAACAAAGGAGATGATTTTAGACTTCAGAAGAAACAGGGCGGAGTCAAACACTGTTTCCATCATGGGAGAAGAAGTGGAGGTGGTTGAGGAATACAAATACCTTGGAGTTTCACCTGGACAACAGACTGGACTGGAGAAAGAACAGCGAAGCCGTTTACAAGAAGGGACACAGCAGACTGCACTTCTTGAGGACGCTTAGGTCCTTCAATGTCTGTAGCAAGATGCTGCAGATCTTCTACAAGTCTGTTGTTGAGAGTGTGATCTCTTCAGCCATCGTCTGTTGGGGTAGCAGCATCAGAAGCAGGGACCTGAAAAGGCTCAACAGCCTAATGACAAAGG